AAGAAAAAATGCAGAATCTAAATTGTTTCTTTATAACAATACAAAACTCATTCTTAACAAGTAAAACAACATAAACAAACATAGAATTAGTGTTAAGACAACAAGGAAAAGAGATCCTAGATTTACAAGATAAACAAAATCTAAAATGGGAACGATGCTAAAATCACAGATGAGATATAAACATCATATCAATTAAATCATCAACAAAAGTAAAATCATATAAAATTTAGTCATATAAATAAACAAAATTTATGAGTTTTCTATAGGTTGCTAAGAGATGTTACCTTTATATTCATTGGACTCCAGTAAATCAGTCATCTTAGTATCAAACTTTGTGCCATGATGTACAAACATCACACAGATTTCTTCAATCAAGCCACAAAAAGGAGTTGTCATAGCATTAATTATATTATTTCTTCAATGATTTGAGAATTAGCCTCTTCTGACAAAACCATCAGGAGAGCAGCCCAATGCACAAAGCATCCCACGTTCACGCAGGTCCAGGGAAGGGGTCAAGTCATAAAATAAATAGATCAACTTGAAATTGGATTGTTTGTTGAGTTGGAGCTTAAAAATAAGGATGAATTGTATATTTTTTGTTTTATTTTAGGTGTAAAGAAAGTTATGCTGAGGAGGCTGAATCACTAGTTGATATGACAGGATCCCGGTGAAGCAATAGCCTAAGCTTGGTTGGGATTTTGTAAAGTCTTATTCCCTATTATGGTGCAACTTTATATATGTATGGTTGTTACCAGTTTCAAAAAAAAAAAGATATATGACAGGTGGACTCAATATGGGCTAATAGGTTTCTCTCTCGATTGTATAGACGTCAAAAGTTTTGGATAATATACAATAAAGGGTAAAACAAACCATTTGAGAACTAATTCTAAACATACTCCATTCAGGAAAAGGGCTATTATTTCAAGATAACCTACCAAAGAAACCAGTGCATTCACACTGTAACAGGAGAATACAAAACAAATTCCTCCAAATGCACTGTGGTTAGAATTGAAACAACCAGTTAAAAAAGGAAGCTTCAGTTATAAAAGTGAAGAAATACAAGCAAATATACAGCAGGACGTCATTAAAGGCCACAAAATAAGAACTACCATAAGGATTTATCCAGAAAAAAATCTGTACGGATTTTTCATATGAACATTAAGTACTGCTGAATAAAAGACCATCATATGGATTAATTCTTAGTTCTTACAACAAAATCCTAAACACAACCCACGTTTAAGACCGTCATATGAATAAGACAAGAATTACAATTTTTACTTGGTACCTCAACTTCAAGCACATTTGATGAAGAATGGGAATACAAGAAAGGTTGACATAGACGCCTAAACCTTGTCTCTCCCTCACAATGGACAAAAACTTCCAAAGCAAATGAGGGTGGTGAAGTGGCCCTGGACAAAATGAAAGGTAGTGTTAAATTATACGTCAAAAGGAATTTTCATTTTAAGTTAGAACTAGATAAACTTTCATGAAAATGTCTAAAGAGGTATTTCTAAGTCATAACAATCATGACAACACATATAAAGTTCATCTATTCATAATTCCACCAAGCTCCAGAAAAGCAAGATGATAACAATTTCAGAAAAGTGTATAATCCTCTTCAACCAATAATGGGTAAATTTGTCCTAACAATGTAAAAGCAGATTTATAGGAGAGGATGTGATATCTTACAGGATCCGTTTGTCTTAAAAGTCTAAAATTATAGCTGCATGATGGTGAAGAACTAACAGCAAGATCCCATACAAAACTGGTTGAGAGATGCACTTCTGGTTAGACATTACACTAGAGATTTTCTACTTATGAATAGCATAAGCTAGAATTCCAAAAGATCTACTTTACTGACTTCCAAAGTTACTGCGGCAGTGAGGCTTTTTTTATTAGTTCTACTTGGGCACCAAAAAAACACTTTTCACTGTATATACCTCCTTACTAACCACAGTCATTTGAAAAAGAAAATCATAAGCTTATCAGTATTTGACATAGGCTTTTGACTTTCGGCTTAACCCAGATGATCATGTAAAGGTTTTCCTTAATTTCCGAATCACGAACTAAGAAATTAGATGACTATGTTTTCCCTGCATTCACCAGATGCATCACAAAGAGTGTAGAATATGTTTAAAGCTGAGTAGAACCAAGCCCTAAAACTTCAGACTTACAAGCAAATATTTATATCTAACAAGTCTTTGAGTCTTTGACAAATTACGATCCTAACATTTTCTAAGGAATGACACATCTCAGACACATCCTTTTTGTTTTGCTTCCTTACTTATCATGTCAACATTGATAACCTGATTGTCTGATGGTCTCAGAACCACCACCCCTTCCACTGTAAGCATAATACATGGTGTATCAAGACTCTCTCTGTGTGTGTGAGAACCAACACTAATGCAATAAAACATCAACAGTAACCACAACCTAGAAATCTTTGAATTCACACTCCCAAGGACAGATTAAAGACACCTTTGTGCAATATTACTTCATGGTGCATACTACATTTAGTGAAAGTTTAATTCAAGAAAATAATGACAACCACCAACACCTGTGCTGTTACACATAACCGAAATAAGCAAGTATGAATAGGAACCATACCCCACAAGCTTCAGCGAAGAACACGCGGAAGGGGCATTCTGTTCAACAATCTCACAAGAAGTGACAACAACCGGGTCTGCAAATAACACCTGGCAACACACAGATAGAGCAACAACATAAAAAAAATAAACAAAGAAAAGCATCCTCTACAAGAATATAGACAGTTCAAATAAAAAACACAATAATTCTCCACATAACATGACCCTTAGTTCCCTCCCCTTGCCCAAAATTTAAACAATTTGCCTATAAAAACAAAGATTTCTCAAGAACAAACTAGTTGGTATTGTCTATATAACTGCATTAGATGTTCAGTTACCTCGTCTACAAACTCATCGAGTTGGGGGTGGTGGAAAGTGTGGGAATAGATAACATGGGGTTCCGGTCGACCCATTCCGTATCTTCCCGTGTTCCGGCCGGAAGAACTTGACCCGAACCGTTAAATCTGAATCTTGTTTTGGTGCTAGGGTTTTACCACATTGGGGAGGAAGAAGAGGCAAGGAGAAGAGTCTGGTTAGACCCAAAAAGTTGACTCTATTATCCCAGTATTAACAGATTATTCTATTATATATATATAGGGTAATTTCGGCACGACGATAGGGTATTCACGGTTTGAATAAAAATAATCTAAGTCAAACAATCGAATCAGATCTATTAAATAGAATGATTTTTATTTAACTTCACATTTTTTTTAAATTGATAATATTCGGTTTGATTTTAATTTTGTTCACATAGATCGAAGAAATAACCGAACTAAATCGACAAATTATATACATATTTTTTATAGTTATATAACATAATATATTATTTTTATGTGAAAAATGTGGCACACTAATTAACATTTTGTTTGGATGGTTTTACGTATTGTTTCATGATGTATTATATTGTATTGTACTGTATTATTTTAAGAAATACAATATTTGGATAGATTGTATCATTTTTCTCGCTACATAATGTCACACATCAATAAATGACAAACGTATAAGAAAAATAGGGTAGAGCAACTATGAAAAAGATAGGTAAAATACAAAATAAAATTATTTAATAATATGTAAAGACAAAATAAAAAGAAAATATTAAGGTAATGATGTAACCACACCAAATCGGTCGTTAGAAGAAAAAAAGGGTCTTTCCGTCCTTACCTAACGATGAATTTAAACAATACATATAATAAAATTTGAGTAACAATCAAAACAAACATTATATATAAACTAACAACGCAATACAATAAGTAACGAGGTATAATGCATCTTTAATTTATTCGTGCAGCAATATCGGTAGCTTGTGCATTACTCAGTAAATTTAGATGTTTAGAACATTGAATTAACGAATAATATCAGCGAAAGTTAAACATGATTGGAGTTCCGGTAAGAATCACAAGATCCAAAATGGCACCAAGATAATTATTTCTTTTGAATGAAGTCTTGTATTTTTTTTCTCTTTAATTAAATCATTTTATTTTTATTTTTCGAGTATGATTAACAATTGTATCAAATTGAATCAAAATTGATAACAACCAAATTCTTTTGAATAAATTGTTTCTTTTATTTTTCTTGTATGATTAATAATCGTATAAAATTGAATCAAAATCGATAACATAACCAAAATTCTTTTGAATAAATCGTTTCTTTTATTTTTTTGTGTATAATTAACAATCATATCAAATTGAATCAAAATCGATAACAACTAAATGATAAATATCTCATATTTGATTTATTTGAAAGTAATTTAAAAAGTGAATAAAATAATTTTATTTTATTTGGATCGATAACCTACCCAAACCGATACATCACTACTACTTCTTAAAATAATCCTTAAATGGAATTAGAAATTTTATGTTAGAAAAATAATATTTGAGAGATTATCATAATCTCTCTTGAAAAGAATTTGAAAATTGAATTCTCTTTAGGGGCAAATCGCCAATTTTATTTTTTTTTTGCTTTTTTTAATAACTTTAATTCGGTGTTGAATTGCGAAAAAAAACACATTTTGCTATCAAGTTAAGTTTCAGAATTTTCAAGAATTTGAAGCATACCAAAAAGTTATTTTCACTTTTTTCATTCAAAATTACTCACAAAAATTCAAAAACAACTACAATATGTATTCATAGACAAAAATAACTCAAATTTCCAAATAGCAATTTTCACTTTAAAAATAAAAAATAAAAAATAAAATAACTACAATTTCATGTTCCAACGCTTCATTAGTATTTATTTTGTTAATGAAAAGAAAAACATGTGCCTTGCACATGACATCATATGTATCAGCTTCTTTTGAGAGTTTAAATTTGTCTTCATTTATAAGTCACACACTTTTACTTTACGTCAAGTAATTTGAAAACTCTTTCTTTGAAAGATATTTGCAAATAATTTAACATACTTTCAACAAATTTGATGGATTAAAAGTTGTATTCGAGTAATACACATCCTAGTAATAGTATATAAAAACATAATTTTTTTTATTTGGATATAAGTATTACATGAAAGTCATTCGCAATTTATTTTGATAAGAACATATTGTTCACACCTTCTTGAACCTGACTTCTAATGGCTCATTACTCAGTGTCAAAAGTGTCTGGCCATTATTTTGTACAAAAACCCCAACGTTCTTGCAAATCACATCACAATAATTGCATACACTTGGACAAAAGACAAACTTGTATCCAACTCCATATTTCACAATCTTAAACCAATTGCTAATGGTGTCGCGACCAGGATTTCCTTTTACTCCGCCATTAGTAATCATGTGATCTTCCTTTTGAGGATTATAGTGATCGAGCCTCCACACGTTGGAGTGATGTTGGCATATAGTATAAGTTTCTGTGAACTCAACATTTAGATCAATAGACTCACGAATTACACCTTTTTTTGAATTCACTGGAAAGAAATTTATCGAAAGGCCTGAATCGTTATTTAGACGTGGGCCGATACCAAGTGGACAAACTTGGGTTCCAATAAAGGCTAGCCCAAGATCGCCTCCTAAGTCCTTCCTTACTGGCACAACCATGTAGTCGGATTCTACTCGAATCATTTTTCCTGTCGTGTCAAGCACGGAATTAGGGGCAGAAGTTGCTTCAGAAAGTAGAGAATTTTTTATAAACACTATTAATGTAATTAAGAAAATGCAAGATACTTCTGTTTTCTTCATTATTGTGAATTTTTTTTTGGAATTATTTTGGTTGGTTAAGTTTCTTAAGAAATAACCTAATCTTTTATAGGTAAGTTTGGCATATGGATACATGCATACAACTCAAGAACTTGCCAACAAACTAAATTGATGGATTTTGACTTACTTTCAACATTGATATTTAACATTTTAAAAATATATCTATTATATATATGTCCTCCACTAAACAGAAGAAAGAAAAAAAGAAGTTGTTTTTAACAGATTTTTAATTTAATTTTTATTTAATGAAGATTGTGACACTGCAATCAACCAAAGGAGTCAAAGCCAGTGGATGTTTAGAATTAAATATGTACGAAAATAGATACAATATTTTAATATTTAATCTATGAGTCTTGCACTCGGACTGGATTAAATCTATGTGTGAACAACTCAATTTGGATGGCGGAAATTGAAATTTCAAGTTCATCAATTTTATAATATTTATATTTTATTTTATTTTTCTAAGATACCAAAAATATCTTTCTCTCTTCCTTCTACCTCTTTTTTACAATTTTTTTTCTTGCTTTATTATTTTATAGCACTATCTAAATTCCATCATTTCAAAATCGAGATTTTTAGAACTGGAACAAAAAGTTCATTTTGAATAACTACTAGTCTAATACGTCATTGGAATGCCGCGCCCTTCCCATGGTTCATTTTTAACGATTCATTATTGTTGTATTTTTAATCTTTTTCATCTATATGTTTTAGGGAAAAGGGTCAAAAATACCCCTCAACTTTGTTTTATTGGTTGACTAAACCCTTACAGTTAAAACGAGGTTAGTTTTACCCCTGCCGTCTACAAACTCATCATATGTACCCTCCAAATTAACGATTTCCCCAAATCAATTCCAAATTCTCAACTTCGACCCGAATTATCCCTTTAAAAACAAATTATCAATTAAATCCGACCCATAACCCATTTAATCTGATCTTACATACCAAATGTATAAAAAAAAAGTAATGAATTCACCAAAACCCATTTCAATTCCTAATGAACAAATAAATTTCCAGCCATTAATGAGCTTTTAAGAAGCAATGTTAGGAGCAAAAGCAGAGGAAGAAGACATGCCAGCCTTATGTTCATACACAAAAATAAGAACAATATTGCTATTGAAATAATCCAATAACCTTCTTCCCCAAAAGTCACTTGTATAGATATATTCACTAGTTCTTCAAATCCGCCGCACACGACGGCGAAAAGGCAGTACTAGGCGGTCGAATTCCACCAGAAAACAACAACAAGAAAGAAACTAAAAAGTTCATGCTGCTGCAATTTTGGGTGGGAATTATCTAATTACACAAATTCAGATCTGTGATTTCAGTGTGAAGAAATGGGTGTGATGTTTTCGATTTGGGTATTTTGGGGAAGAAGTTGAAATTATTGATTTTTCGAAGTTGGAACTCGCTTGTAAAATCCGAAATTCAAACTCAAGCTCCAAGCTCCATTAATGGCTATGAAGTTTCCATGGTTGGTTCTTCAAGTTTCAGGCTCCAATTCAAAAACTAGTACCCTTAGAAGCTTTTAACAATGGCTTTGAAAATATTTACAGAATGAGTAACACTACCAACAAATTCAATGACAAGGGAGAAATCCATTCTTTTTAGTTTTGGTGGACTCAACAAGATTGAGAAAATTGAAAATTAAATTAAATTTTGTTTATAATGGTGGTGGGTTTTATATGGGTCGGATCAAATTAGAAAATAATTTCATTCTAAATGAGTTTTAAATGGGTAATTCGGGTCGAAATTGAGAATTTGAGATTGATTTGGGGCAAATCGTTAATTTGGAGGGTACATATGATGAGTTTGTAGACGGCAAGGGTAAAACTAACCTCGTTTTAACGGTAAGGGTTTAGTCAACCAATAAAACAAAGTTGAGGGGTATTTTTGACCCTTTTCCCTATGTTTTATATGAGATGAGTGTTTATTTAAAATAATTTTTTTATTTTTATAAAATAAGGTGTAGTTAAAGTTTGCGTAAACATCATACTCTTCATATTCCACTTGTAAAATTACACTAGTTAAATATATTATTATTATTATACTTTAAATTATTTTTCCCCTTAATAGATATGTAGACAGATATCAAGCTATGTAATAACCTTTTTTTGCTGTAAGAAATAAAATTTAATCTTTTTGACAAAAATAAAAAATATCTGATTTGACTCTTTTGCTTAATTAATTTTGTTCTTTTCATGGGAAAATGGTATGAAATAGCAAATTATTAATTCAAAGTAAATGTTATAGCCATAGTATATTTTAATTGTAATTCGCAGCAAACATCCCATTTTTTTGTCATCTGATTCGGTATACAATTAGCCATTTTCGGTATACAATTAGCAATTTTATACATTTCGGTATAAAATGTATAAAATGCGTTTGTGTTTGTATAAAGCGAGAGAAAAGTGTATATACAAATACAAATACATATATTTTCGTCATATACACTTATAATTATACAAATACATATCTTATTATACAAATTACAATGTATAAATGAATTTATACAAAACAGAACAATTTGTATAAAATTGAATGTTTCTAGTGAATTATACGAATCAAAAGCTCCATTAATTTGTATGCAATTATACAATTATACAAATTATGTGTCGATATTTCATCAAAAGCTCCATTAATTATACATAGCTTTTGCTTAATTAATTTTGTTCATATATATCTTTTTCTTCATAATTCATTTCCATCCTCTGCTCACTAACATTCAATCATTCTTCAATTTAAAACTCCTCATTGAAGCTACGTACTTTCACTAGCCTTGATATGGTAGTGAGTTCTATTCTAAAATGGACAATTTTTTGGGGCACTAAAATACAGATGAAAACAAACACTTTCTTAATAACACAGATCAAATTGCATAAATTTCAAATATGATTATTTATATACTGCTTAGAAAACTCCACACAAATTTAGGCCACACTACAATTGCTTACAAACACTCACAAGTCATTGCCATATCGGCTTATTACATAAAAAAAGTATCACTTATTTAATTACTATTACTTAGTTCATTATATTGTGTTACTATCACAATTATTACTTGAGACTTATTTTCATGCATCCTTTACAAACTTCACCTCAACCGGAAAATCACTTAGACCCAAACGTTTCTGCCCATTATACTCAATTACGCCAACATCCTTGCACATTATCTTGCAATCCTTACACACCGATGGACAATACGTAATCTTGTAATTATCACCAAACTCCTCAATCTTAAACCAATTTCTTATGGTTTCATGACCAGGATTTCCTTTTACTCCACCCAGTATTAAAAAGTAGCTTTGGGCTCGTCGATCATAAGGACCAACGGTCCATATGCCATCATTGGACTTAGTACACACCGTGTACGACAAGTTGTAGTCAACGTTCAAGTCGGTGGACAGGCGAATAATGCCTTTCTTAGAATTCGCCGATGAAAATAACAGTGGGGTGCCCGGGTAATAGTCTTCTTGAACTATGCCTAGTGGGCACGGTTTGTGATGATTGTTAATATTGGCTAATTCAAATCCCCAGGCCTCGTCTGGGGATATTGGTTGGACATAATAATTAGTCCCAGTTCATAATTTTTTCCACTAGAATCACGCACCGCAATTGGAGTGGATTCGGATGCTTCACATAGTTTTGATTTTGTGAAGTAGTTGGTGGCAAAGAGGAATGAAACGAAAAACATAATATTGATCAACTTCATTCTTGAGTTAATTAACTACTAATTTGTGTTGAGTGATTAATAATATGTAAGGATGTGAACTAATGAATGGTAAAATTGGTGATTATATAGAGATTATTTTCCCTAAGCAATTTGGTAGGCATGAATCGACTAGAGGCTAGAGCATCAAGTTTATGAATTACATTAACAAAGTTGATGGTGTTCAAAAGCAAATCCTCCTCGAAGTAAACGGGTTTTGACTTCACTTTTTATATATTTCATATTAAAATATAAAATATAAAATATAAAATATAGACACACCTCTTATAATTTTTGAAGTCGACTAGAGCATCAAGTTTATGAATATTTTATATTATTATTTTAAGTATATAAATATCTGTATATTGGGTGTATATTAAGTTTCTAAACATTTTTGCAAAAAGATAATAATGAAAGTTTTGTATATTATGTATGCCGAATGTATAATATTGTAAACTGGATTATGTTTTAACCTAAGGTTTTGAACTATACTTTTACAACGTAAGTTACATAATTGTATATTTCTGATAGCATTACAATCCTATCTTTTCAAATATCCATTGTTTGCTTAACCCAAAAAAAAAAAAATATCCATTGTTTGGAAAAAAAAACAAAGTGTTGACAAATTGGTATGATTTTCTAATTTGAATTTAAATGAAAGCTGAGTTAGATTAAAAGTTTCAATTTTTTAACCTCTTATATATTTCTCGATTTTTATCTTTATTGATGATCATTAGTTGATCTGTTTGTGCTTGTCAACTTTTTCATGATGAATACGTTATATGTGTTGGGAGTTTGAAGTATGATTGGGAAATGAGAAAAGATACCTTTTATTAGATTGAACCAAAAAATCATCTTTTGAATCTTACTTGTCCATCTCATCTTTTTATCGTCTACAATTCAGAAGCCTTGTAACACCCCCTAAATACTAAAATCAAGATTCACATGTCGATACACCATTTCTTAATTACTACAGTATGTTTTATTCTCATTTTAGGAACTTAAAATTTTGTAATATTTGCAAACTTGCTTAACATAAATTGTGATAGGTTATGCGTCCCTAATAATGACAAATTATTAAGGAGAGAAATATTGAATAAAGCACATACTTCACCATATGCAATGCATCCGGAAGGTACAAAGATGTACCAGACCATCAAAGAAATTATTGGTGGAATGGTATGAAGAGAGACATTGCAGAGTTCATTTCAAAATGTTTGGTTTGTCAACAAGTAAAGGCAGAACATCAGGTCCCAGTTGGTTTGCTACAGCCCTTGTCGATGCCGGAATGAAAATGGAAGAGAATAACTATGGACTTTGTTTCTGAACTTCCTCGCACTCAAAAAAATCATGATGCAATATGGGTAATAGTGGACAGGCTAACCAAGAGTGCTCATTTCTTAGCACTCAGGATGGATTACTCACTTGAGCGTTTAGTCAAATTGTACATTAATGAGATTGTAAGACTACATGGGATTCCTGTGTCTATTGTATCTGACCGAGACCTAAGATTTACATCTAGATTTTGGGGTAGCTTGCAAGAAGCTTTGGGTACTAAGTTGAAATTTAGCACTTTGTTCCATCCTCAGACAGATGGTAAGTCGGAAAGAGTGACACAAATTTTGGAGGATATGCTTCGAGCTTGCATTACGGAGTTTGAGGGTAGTTGGGACAAACACTTGGCTTTGATAGAATTTGCTTACAATAACAGTTACCAATCGAGTATTGGAATGCCTCCCTATGAAGCCTTATACGGAAAAAAAATGTCGAACCCCTCTTTGTTGGAGTGAAGTTGGTGAAAGAAGCTTATTGGTCCTGAAATTGTGCAACAGATAGAAGACAAGGTAAAAATTATCAAGGATCGTCTAAAGATTTCTTCGGATAGACAAAATTCGTACGCTAATCTGAAAAGGCGTGATATTGAATATCAAGTTGGAGATAAAGTATTTTTAAAGATGTCTCCATGGAAAAAGATTTTGAGATTTGGCCAAAAAGGAAAACTTAGTCCCCGATTTATTGGACCTTATGAGATACTTGAAAGGGTTGGACCAGTTGCATATAAATTAACATTTCCACTTGAGTTAGACAAGATCCACAATGTCTTTCATGTTTCTATGCTCAGAAGATATCGTTCTGATCCATCTCATATTCTTCCAGTTGAATCTATTGAGGTTAATTCTGACTTGACGTATAATGAAGAACATATTCTAATTCAAGCTCGGGAAGTAAAGCAACTTAGAAACAAGAGAATCCCTTTAGTAAAGATACTTTGGAGGAACCATTCTGGACTGGGAGCGAGGAGAAGACATGAGGACCCAATACCCACACTTGTTTCGAGATTAGTGTAAGGTAAATTTTGAAACAAAATTTCTTTAAGCGGGAGAGAGTTGTAACACCCCCTATATACTAAAACCAAGATTCACATGTCGATAGACCATTCTTTAATTACTACAGTATGTTTTATTCTTATTTTAGGAACTTGAAATTTTATGATATTTGCAAATTTGCTTAACAGTAATTGTGATCGTAATTTAAGAGATTGTATTGGGGTATTTACGTAATATACTAGTTAGAATTATCTATACTTGAAAGGGAGGTGAGGGATATACATATAGGTATATATGTATGCATTTTGGGCAACCAACTTTTTGTTTGGGCAACCACCTTTTAGTGCCAGCTGTATAAGTGATAAATAACACTTTTGTAACTATGTTTTCACACCTCCTCTAGAGAAATTCATTTTCCTTAAGTCTAAGATCCTTGAGAACTTTATCTAACTAGATTGTTCTTCAAAATCACAAGATACAAATTTGATCCTTTTGGCTGGAATTCGAGACACACCCTTCCCTTTGGTAAGTGATGAAATCTGTTTTGAGCTAGGTAGTGTTTAGTATTTTAAGCATATCTCGTTCTTTAGAACTCCATTTACAGTAAATAAATATGATTTGGAAAGCTAATTCATATACCTTCAACTCCTATGTTTATGTAAAACTCTAATATAGTTATTATGGATTCTAAATATGGGACGCAACATAGGACAAGTTCTGTCCAGATTTTGGAATTAGAAATCCTGTATGTTCAACTATTAGTGTTTTGATTATATTTTTTTGTACAAAAATATATATTGCGGCGATTCTTGATTAGTTTCAAGCTTAAGAGATGTACCTACATCTTTCATGGAGGATATAAAGTTCAATTTTTCCATTTTTTCCTTTTCAAATCTAAGTTGCGACATGAGGTACTTGGTTGGCCAAAAATACTTTTTTGGGAGCATAGTCGTATTTGTACAAGCTATGCTTACTTGTGATGATAATCATGTTTTACGTCAACATTATTGAGCTACTAGAAAGTAAAGAAGTTATTTACTAATATTTTTAAAGTTGCATATACTCGTGTACAAGTTGAGGACCTTGCTATACGTTGGTTGGTCTACGGTTTGAACTCTTGAAGTTGTGTTGGACTGTTTCCATGCAAAAGCACTGAGGTTTGTGTATAAGCTTGTACTGATACTCTTGTTACCTGGTATATTTGAAAGTTTATCTTGGTACTTTGGTTACCTCTTGTCACTTTGCATTGTAGTGTTGGTATCAAAGCCTAGGTTTGTGGTTCTAGGACTTTTGCTGTGAATTACTTGTATACTTGTTTCACTTTCGAAAAGGTTCTGGTTACATTATTTTTTCACTTACATGATTTATAATATTAGATTTCTTCTTAAATGATAGTATCCTTCCGAAAGGGTCGCTACAAGCCTTGCCTTAAATTTTAGATATTACAAACAAACAAAAAAAGACATCCAAAAATCTGAAATTCGATCTTCTTTTCTTCTTCGTGCATATATTGTTTTCAAATAAAATATAAATGTCATGTGATTTAATCTATTTGTTGAGTTCATTGGAGTTATATTATTTGCATTGTCGCTATGACAAAAATGTTTTTTTATTCTATCTACGGAGGAAGTAACCCAAAATCTTGACAACAGTGAGAGGGCTATAATTCCTTAATAATACACAAATAATTTGTAATCTCGGAATAATATTCTTTTTCTCCTACATTTCTGATCTAATGATTTGAACACATGATACCAACAATAATATGCTTAATATAGGCAAGTCAACTTGATGATTTTCTCAAGGCACCGTACAATTTTGAGGAGCTAAGGATTTTGATCATACTTGATTTCAATCACCCTCAGAAAACATGGAATCAACTACGAAAATTTATCGACAATTCTAACTGATTCATTGCTAAATAGCTCCTAACTAATTAAATTTCCATATAATCCGTCAAAAGAAACTAGTGCATTATAATTTCTTGCTCCATTGACCACATTACATAGATTAGCATGACAATCTCTCAAATTATGAGAACTATCATTAATGAATTTTAGGCTTCCCAGTACAAAGTAGAGATCCATCATGACCATAGAGTTTACAACTTGCTTTTGCAGTACAACAATTGACACAAATTTGAGTAAGTAATTTTGTCGATCCAGAAGATGGACAAATCATGTAAGCAACTTTAGGGTCACATTGTTGAGTACAAATCTTGGGTTCACTACGTTTTCCTTCACAAACAAACTTGCCGTCTAGATCGAAATAGTAGCAACCCTTGTAACCCGTGCAACAGGAGGTGCATTCGATGTTTTCAATTACCCTATTTCCTTCTGAAAGAGGACACTTTGAATAAACAATTTTTGAATCACAATTCTTGGGACAAGTGTTTGGCTTTCTAGGGTCAGATTTTCCTTCACAAATGAAAGTTCCATTAGCACTGTAATAGTTGCAACCCTTGTAGCCTGCACAACAATTGATGCATATGGGATTTCTCGGACTTCCTTCTGAACGTGGACATATAGTGTAGGAAAATTTACCGCATTCCATGGTACAAAACATGGTAGCATCGTCAAGTTCCGTGGCGCTTATAAGTTGAAACATTCCTAAAAACAAATACTAAGTTATATTAAGTAAAAACATAACACTACTTGTGTTTTATAAGTATAAAAAGGAAAATCTTACCAAGTACAAGTAAGCAAGCATGGAAACTAACATCTTTGTGAACAGCCATTATGAATAATTAATTATTATTAGCTAATTAACATCAATATATATAGTCTCCTCAATTTGTAGAATTTAATTATATTATTTTTTTGTACTAGCTAGCGTAAGTTTGCTAGGTATGATCAAATAGAACAAAAAATATTTTTCTCTAAAAACTTGTTCAAACATTTTTTTTTTTTTGAAGTAATTCGTTTTTGGTTAAGATTCAAAAGTACTTTTCTTTAAAAACTTGGTCAAACGTTTTAATTTAATTTTAAAAAAATAAGCACTTAGCTTTTCCCAATGCTCTTTGTAGCCATTTGAATTATCAGTTTTTTTTTGTCAACTGGAGATATATTAATAAGTTACCAAGTCTAACTAAACTATTGCATATTCACGTACAAGTTCTATACATTTTAATGATAAAAAAGATTAGGTAGTTATCTTCATAAAAATGGTAACTAACCTGTGATGATAAATCAAAATTGATTGTGCAAAAATAAATAACAATTCATTTTATTTATTTGGAAATCTAGGAGTAATGTATTACTTGTGAATTTTTATTTGGGATTTTCGATATAATAATAAATAAATAAAACACATTTATAATATGACGTGTAATATGTGATTCTCCCCCCTTTTTATGGGAGAGGGTGTGTGGCTGGAAATGGTAAAACGGAAGAATCTAACTGAAAATTTTAACAATATTTTGAGGAACTTAAGTATAAGTAAACTAAGCTAATACAAGATTTTAGGCGTAAAATATATTTGACTTTAAAGTAATGTAATTAAGTAAAAATAAGATAATACAACAGTTTAGAAGTAAAAGTTTTTGACTTTTAAAGGGAATTAATTAAGTAAACTACTCATTTCGTTCAATTGTACTTGTCATATTTGGACTTGATACATCCATTAAAAAATAAAATAATTATTGATACAATTATTTTACCACACTATCCCTATTATATGATGTTTAATTTTTTTGGGGAATAAGAAATTAATGTTAAATGTAAAACATGAAAAAGAAAGTTATTTTTTCTTGATATGATAAAGTGACCCGAAAAATGATTTTTTTAATTAAAAAAGTGGACAAGTAAAATTAATCTGAGAAAAAAATATAGATATTAGAATTTAGGGTATATAGGTAATTTCATTGATACTAATAACATTAGAGCTGAAGTACTGACAATGTCTGACATTATTGCAGGTACGTGGCAAAATCATATCCAACTCGATCCAACCCATTTAGGTTTGGGTTGGTCATTGATCCTCCAATTTATTAGCTCAATCCATTTCAACCTAACTCATTTCAATTCATTAAAAATTGGATTGATATGTAATTCAAATTGATTTTTGAGAAATCTTGTTAAAATATTATTAAAAGACTTTTTTTTTATTTTATATATTATATATAGTTATAATAAGAAAAAAATAATTTTATTAGGTACTAAAAGCTTATAAAATAACAAATAAAGCTATTAAAACTTAGTAAAAATTGGGTGGGTTGGGTTATGACCCGTTACTAACCCATTACCTAACCCATTTGATCCAAATAAATTTGGATTGGGTCGGATCTTGACCCGTTTATTATCTTGACCCATTTTAACCCGCTCAAATTTAGCCCAATCCATCCAATTGTCACCCCTAGTTGCAGGATGCAATTAGCTCTATCTAGAAACTTTACACGATAGAAATTAATGTTGGTCGCAAGAAATTTTTTGGGTCGAATCAGATCGGATTGGTCCACATGGTCGTTCCACGATCCACGACCCAAAAACTTATAGAATAGGATACTCTTCTAGAATAGGATACTCTTCTACAATAAATCCTTTTTTTGTTTATCAACTAGTGTAATTTGACAGTCAAGTATTATATTATGAGGTCATACCTAGCCCCCCTCTGCAAGTTTTTGTTGGAATATAACTTACAATATACATGATGATAGTTTAACAAAAAAAGAAAAGAAATGGTAGAGGCATTAGAGGTGTGTATCGGTTGGTTCAGTTTATCGTTTTTCAATTTTTAAATGTGCTAAATCGATAATCAAACTAATAAGATATTTGTTATCAATTTTTAGTTTATCAATTTTTGGTCTTTAATGGTTCGATTTTCAGTTTAACCAATAAGAAAATGCTTTCAAAACAAATATATGGCTTGTCCAACAATTTGATGTCAAATAAAACAAGATAAATCAAATTACTCATTGAGTGCAAAAATTCTGCTTAGTGTAGTAAAAGTATAGCAAATACTCACAATTCACAATCCTAGTTGTTGCCTAACCGTTGCCGTCGTCGTTACAAACCTAGTTGTCGCCGTTCTTATTTCTTTAGGTTTTGACGTTGTGAACCTAAAGACTAAAGTATAACTAAAACTTAAAGGGTAAATGCAGAGACAGAGTTAAGTATTGTTAATTGTGTAGGGTCCTTATAATTATAGTCTAATATAATGATTATCTTAATATTTTTTGTTTGATATTTATGTGTGACTAAAGATTAAAATAGTAAATTATTATATTCTTAATGGGTTATCGATTAACCCAATATTAAAAAACCAATATCGAATCGATAATCCAATAAATTTTTTATAAAACAATTAAGTAACAGTTAACCCAATAACAATAAACCAATAACACTTTTTTCGATTCGATTTATGCAACCCCTAAAAAGCATACAAAGTAAGAATCTTTTTTTTTTTGTTAGGCTAAAAATGTCAATACCTATCTCGAATAGTTATAATAGTATTAATATTATTCTCCCTACCCCAAACTTTAAAACCGGACTAGTAGATCTGCCACTATCATGTATCTTTGCTTACGAAAAATAAAATAAAATAAAAGGTTTCGACTTTTAAAGTAAAGCAATTAAGTAAACTAGCTGGCTAATATATTTCCTTTCCTTTCAATTTTTTTTGCCTATTTTAATTAACTTGGTGCGAAATTTAAAAAAATATAATTATTTTTAAATTTAATGATCTTAAAAATATCATTATTGTCATGTGGAAAGTTAAAATTAAAGAATCACTAAAATGAGAAAAGGTCATTCGTTTTTAAACAAACTAAAAAAAAATAGATCAAACAAATTATACCAAGAAAAAAAAACTAGAGTTCGAAGTAAAAGATTTTATTAATTTATTGCGCAAGCGGTGGGAAAAGCTCCAATGCCCACATTACATAGATTAGCATGACAATAATGCATGTATCGTCATACTTTTATTTCATACATATTACTGAGAACTATTAATGACCTTTAACGCCACCGACACAAATTAAAGATTCATCATGACCATAGAGTTTGCACCCTGGTTTTGCGGTACAACAATTGACACAAATTCGAGTACGTTTTGCCGATTCAGGTGGGCAAGTCATATAGGCAACTTTAGGGTCACATTGTTGAGTACAAACCTTGGGTTCATCACTCTGTCCTTCACACACAAACTTGTTGTCTTTACCGTAATAGTAGCAACCCTTGTAACCCGTGCAACATGTGGTGCATCCAGTGGGTTTAATTATAGTCGGTCCTTCTGAACGGGGACATTTTGAATAAGCAATTTTACGATCACATTCCTTGGAACAACGTTCGTTTGGCTTTCTTGGGTCAGATTGTCCTTCACAAATGAAAGTTCCGTTAGCACTGTAATAGTGGCAACCCTTGTAGCCTGCACAACATGTGGTACATATGGGGTTTCTTGGATCTCCTTCTGAACGTGGACATATCGCATAGCTAAAATTACCACATTCTCTAGTACAAAGCCTGGGATTGATGATATCACGATCCTGGTCTATCGTCGCACTTACATGGAGAAACATTAATCCTACAACAAATATAAGGTATATATATTAAGGAAAAACATATATAACAATACTTGTGTATGTATGAACGAAGAATTTAAAGAGAAAACTAACTTACCAAGAACAAGCAAGCAAGCAAGGAAACTAACATCTTTGTGAACAGCCATTATGGATAATTACTTAGCACTTTGTTTTCTTTTAATTTTGGGGTGAGGAGTGTATGTCCTCGTCCACCTATATTTATAGCAAACAATTGATCAAATAAAACTCAAAATAGTCAAACCTGTTCATTATTTCAGCTAATTAACATCAATATTCAGTCTCCTCAAATTTGTACTTGCTAGTGTAAGTTTGGCAAGGTAGGATCAAATAGAACAAAAAGAAAGTCGGATTTATTCGTTATTGAGCAGTCGTTTATATTTGACTAATTAATTTTTTATATAACAATTACTTGTATTTGACTAATCAATTTTCTTTAAAAACACTTTTATCAATATTTTACAGTAGTAATTCGTACTTGATAAATGTTCCAAAAATGCTTCTGGCAAAAAGCTATTTTTTGGCTTTTGAAAAATAACTTTTTCTAGCATTTTAAAGCACTTATTTGCCACCAAAATCAATTGGCTATTTTTTTTTACACTTTTAGCTGCCTAGCTTTTCCCAGTACTCTTTGTGCCGTTTGAATTATCAGTAACTGTCCTTTTGTCATTTGGAGATACTGACCTGCTTGGATTGATTTTTCAGTTTTGATTTATTATATATTTCTCACTTGTGACTTTTAATTTATTTTTGTCATTTAAATTAAAACTAATTAATGTTAATGAGTATTTTTTAACTTACTCAAACGCTATTAAACGGTTGAGATCACTTAAAATGAGTGGATCTAAACTGACTAAATCCAAAGTAGAAGTGGTTACCAAGTCTAACTAACTTATTACAACTATCCAGAACGTACTTTAGCCATGTGATTATATATTGCGCATACGTTCTATATATTGATGATAAAAAAAAATCATGATTAATTGATTACTAACATGTTATAATAATAGATTAATACTGATAGTGCAATGTTAGATTAATACTGATAGTGCAATATTTAATGATTTTTTTTCATGATTAATTGATTACTAACATGTTATAATAGATTTATACTGACAGTGCATTTAAAAATAAATAAATTAAACCTTCCTTGCATTAAGTATAATTCGATGGATGGCTGTTCAATTCACATAAAAAACTAAATATAAAAATAGGAGTTAAACATCAAGTAAACAATGAAGCATAATTTACATCAATGATCAATGGAGTTATTTATTAAAAATAAAAACAACGAAGCAGAGTAGGTCTGAGCTTAAGTAAACTCGAAAAATTAGCGCATGTCGGTGGCTTACCTAAGGGAAGACCAAATACCCTTAAACCTAATGATATCATGAGATCGAACAAATAACATAGAAACTTCAAGTTTTTTGAAATAAAATTGTATATTTGAAAATTATATTAAAAAATACTGTAAAATTAACAATTTAAAAGACATAAATAATTTTTAGCAAAAAAAAATGAAAATGACCAACTCTAAAAATTCTAACTATGAAACATAAATTAAGACTGAGCGATAGATAACTTAGCTTTTTCCAATGCACTTTGTAGCCGCCATTGAAGTATCAATAACTTTTCGGACATACTAATTATATTCAAAGTTGAAGTGTTGAATCAATTTCTCAAATTCTCACTTAACTAGTACTCCTTATGTCCACTCTTAATTTTAATTGTCATGTTTGTGCTTTTTGAAAATCAATTTGACTATTTTTAAAGTTAAATTAGATTATATTAATTTACAATTTTAAACAAAAGATTTAGATATTCAAAAAGTATACGAAAAGTACTATAATTCAATTTTTTGCTCATCAATATGATGAAAAAATGCACGGTAAAATGTTAGTCAAAGTTATTATCAGTTGACTCTAAAAAAGGAAACTATATATGACAATTAAAAGTGGACGGAAATAGTAATTTTTATTTAAAAAAATTACATATATTTTTTAATTAAAAAAATGAATTAAAAAAAACTTCTAAAATAGTAACTATCCATTAGATGATCGTATTAAAAAGAACCCTAAACTTTAGAAGTGTATACAGTCAACGAAAATATTGATAGGTTGATAAAATTAAGCCGCCCTTACAGTACTTGAGTATAATAATTAAGCAAAATGGTAGATATGATTACTTAGGGTATGTATAGTCAACGGAAAATTGAACTAAATTGTAAATTGAGTTAAATCAAAAAAGACACTTGATTAGTAATTTGGTTTGATTTAATTTGATATTGGAATTTATTATATTATTTGGGTTGATTTGGTTTTAAGTAAGTCGAATCGAGATCAAATTAATCTGATATTATATTTATAATTTTAAAAATATATTTTACACATAATATTATTTACTTTGATATAATGTATAAATATTTCTTACACTTCAATTTTTTCATAGTTTTTATTTTTTAACATGTTATTTCAAGTTTGAGGCAAATAAAATAATTAATTCAACACTAAGAATGACAATAATGTTGAATATTTGTTCTTTAGTTTTACATTTAGATAATTAAAATACAAATATCATAATTTTAATTTTTCTTTAATGTTTAGTCATGTAGTTAATACTTATTAGACTTATTTAGTACTTTTAAATTATGATAATTTTCATTATAACTTATCAATTTACAATATTTGTTTATGCGATTTTATTATTATTTTTTGTTGAATATTTAGTGTCATCACTCGTCTCATATTTTTGTGTTATTTTTTTAAGAAACACCTTAGATAGTTGTAGTTTGATAGGACTTACGAAATATTTGAAGCACGGTTAATTATATGTTTGTATGAATACTTTATCGAAATAATCCAAAATCCCGAGAAACCAAAAGAAACCCGAAATTTGTTAATTTGATTTGATTTATATATTTAAAAATCCAGCACAGATAATCTAATTTAGTATTTGAAAATCCTTAATCAATCCGATCCATATATATCCCAATGGTTATCGATGGATTTCTTAGGTAATTATTTGATAACTTCATAAAAATGGCAACCAACATGTTATGATAGATTAAAATTGATTGTGCAAAAATAAATAACAATTCATTTCGTTTAGTTGGAAATCTAGGAGTAATGTATCACTTGTGCAAAAATAAATAACATAATATGATGTGTAAATGATTCTTCCCCGTTTTCATGGGAGAGGGTGTGTGGCTGGAAATGGGAGGACGGAAGAATCTAGCTGAAAATTTTAACGGAATATGGTAGAATGTATTAGCAAAAATAATTTATGCATTATTTTTACTAAAACATTCTACCAAACGATCCCTAAATAAATTAGCTGGCTAGTATACTTCCTCCATTTAAATTTATTTGGCGTAGTTTGACTTGGTATGAAATTGAAGAAAGTAAAAAAATAATAATTGAATTTTATGATCTTAAACATGTCATATGTAAAGTTAAAATTAAAGAGTTGCTAAAATTAAGTTTTGTGCACCGTTAGTGTATGAAATTTCTACACCATCAGGTACTTTTAATGAAATTTAACCATAGTTTGTGCAGTTTGTCCAGATGGTGTAGAAATTTCATTAAAAGTACCTGATGGTGTAGAAATTTCATACACTAACGGTGCACAACTTAAACTAAAATAGAGTTACTATGGTTAAATTTCATTAAAAGTACCTGATGGTGTAGAAATTTCATACACTAACGGTGCACACAACTTAAACTCTTTAAACAAATTAAAATAAAAAGTAGATCAAACAAATTGATACGAAAAAAAAAGAAATACTAGAGTTCAAAGTAAAAGATTTTGACGAGAGGGAGTTGCTCGGTTGGTAAGCACCCCTCACTCCCAACCCGAAGGTAGTGAGTTCGAGTCACCAAGGAAGCAAAAGGGCTGGGAGATCCTAGGGAGGGTAAAAAAATAATAAAAGATTTTATTAATTTATTGTGCAAGTGGTGGAAAAAGCTCCAATGCCCACATTACAGCGATTAGCATGACAATGATAAGTATATAATCATGCTTTTATTTCATACATATTAATAAGGACTATTAATGACCTTTAACACCTCCGATACAAATTAAAGATCCAACATGACCATAGAGTTTGCATCCTGGTTTTGCGGTACAACAATTGACACAAACTCGAGTAAGTTTTGTTGATTCAGGTGGGTAAGTCATGTAAGCAACTTTAGGGTCACATTTTTGAGTACAAGCCTTGGGTTCATCACTCTGCCTTCACACACAAACTTGTTGTCTTTACCGTAATAGTAACAACCCTTGTACCCTGTGCAACATGTGGTGCATCCAGTGGGTTTAATTATAGTCGGTCCTTCTAAATGGGGACCTTTTGAATAAACAATTTTATAATCACATTCCTTGGGACAATGTTCGTTTGGCTTTCTTGGGTCAGATTTTCCTTCACAAATGAAAGTTCCGTTAGAGCTATAATAGTTGCAACCCTTGTAGCTTGCACAACATGTGGTACATATGAGATTTCTTGGATTTCCTTCGGAACGTGGACATATTGCATAGATAAAATTGCCACATTCTTTGGTACATGTAACATCTCGCTAATTGAAAGGACTGGAAAGAAGTTAAAAATTGGAAATAGTCATTTTTGGAAAGAATAAAAATCTGGAAAATTTGTTAAGTATGTCAAGTTGAGTTTTTGGTCAACTTCAAATGACCATAACTCCTAGCTCAGGATGAGTTAGGTTTCTTTCCAGATATCGTGGAAACGATCTTGGAATAATCTTTCCAATGATTCCGAGTTCGTATGAGTAAGTTATGCCCATTTGAAGTTGGGCTGTTCAAATAAGGAAAGTCTAATCCAGATTTTTGAAGGGTAGTTTAGTCTTTTCCTTACCCAATTAAATAAATCCGTTTTTAGTAAATTATTTGGGGTCTAAACTGTGTTAGTTCAGTTTACGCAATTAAGAAATACGCTAAGGCTTTGAGATAAGAGAAAAAAGGAGAAAGGAGAATAGAAACTCAAGATTCGTCAAGTTCTTGCGATTTTGGTTGTGGAATTCGCCAAGGATTAAATCCTACAAGGTATGAGAGACTTTCATAGCGTTGGGTTCGTTCACCCACGAACCCAACGCTAGGAGTTCGACTAATGGATTCCACAGAAGGAGGAGTACGGTGATGAATGGGGCTGAAT